CACGGCAACATCTGGGAATCGTTGCCTGCCCGTCCCTGTTCCGTCCCAAACGGCGATACCGCGCTGTAAAAAAGAACCACCTACCTAGGTGGTTGTATCCCTTCCAGCGCCGCAAGCCGGGCCGTGGGATCGGGTGGTGCGTCCTTGCGCCGCCGCATCCCGGCCCCTGGGCGTACCGCGCATGCTTGAGCATGCGCAGTTCGGCAGCCTCCTCCTCCCATCGGACTTTCCTCCCCGGCATCTGATCGTGCCAGGGAGCGATGCGCCGCGGCTGAGGGGATCCATGGGATCCCGCCGTGGCGTCTCAAGTTCGGTGCGGCTCTGCTTAGCCGCGTTTCAGCCGTCCCGTGTGGCAGCAGCCAAACTTGGATAAACCTAGGATAAGAGGCTAAACTGGGTACCTGGGATAAGAAGGGTGAAGGGCAGGAGGCCCAGCAGTGCGGCTGTGGTGGTCCTCCTCCATTTCAGTCGGGCACCCTCCATCGTTCTAGATCTTCCCACAAGGCGAGAAGCGTCTCATCAGCAGCAGAAGGGGAAGAAGAGAGGTCTGTGGTCGGAGGCACTTGGGCAAGCGTGTGTACCTCTGTGTGGACGTATGTGCGGTTACAATGACAGGGCGAAAATTGACTTCCTGGCACAGGGAAGATAAGCGCCCCAAACTGTAAACACAACTCGGTGGTGAAGACCAGGGGCTTTTCTGCCCTGAGTTATTTTGTTGCAGCTTGGCTACTTAAATGTTTATTTTATTTATTTTCATTCCATTTCTATCCCGCCCTCCCCGCACGCAGGCTCCGGGCAGCTTACAGGGCACAAGGTGCTATAAAGCAGATACATTAAAACAGCAGAAGCTAAAAGCATTAACAACTCATGAATACATGAAGGATTAAAATTGCACACTCTCCATTGCATGTCAGGAGGAGGTCCAAGATCACAATCAGAAGGGAGACGGCATGAGCCATGATGTTCTAATTACTCATCAGCCCACCTCCGACGGTCCTGCACCGCATATATGCGGTGGTGGTAGTGGCGGCGGCGGCCCCTATTCAAAAGCCTGGCGGAAGAGCTCCGTCTTACAGGCTCCGCGGAACTGTAAAAGGTCCCGCAGAGCCCTGATCTCCTCCGGGAGCTCATTCCACCAGATAGGGGCCGCCACCAAAAAGGACCTGGCCCTCGTGGTAGCTAGCCTGGCCTCTTTAGGGCCCGGGGTCACTAAGCGGTGCTGTGACCCCGACCGAAGTGCTCTTTGGGGCCTGTATGGGGAAAGGCTGTATAGGGAAAGGCTGTATGGGGGAATGCATCAGTTTATCCCCTCCCCTCTCTTCGCCGGCCTGCTTTCCTGTTATATTTCATTGTTTCCCTCTATTGTCTGGGGAAAAAAAAAACAGGAAAAACCTGGGGAGTAAAAGGGGAGATCAATGACCGGCAAATGATACTTTGTGTAAGGGAAGGGGGAAACAGTGCCGTGAAGTAGGCGAACTGTGGCCAATACCAGTGTTCCCTGTAAGCTGAGTGAGTGTGAGCTAGCTCACCGTTTTTTAGCCTCCGGCTCACACATTTTTGTCTCCGCTCAGGAAGGAGGGTCTCCAGAGCAAACGAATTTATGCAGCAGCCAAATCGCTCGCTCACAACTTGAATGCCAGTAGCTCACAAAATAGAATTTTTGCTCACAAGACTCCACAGCTTAGAGGGAGCAGGGCTATTTTGGGGCAGGAACCCACAGGAACGGAGTTCCGGCTGGCTTCAGAGTTGGCCACGCCCACTACAGCTAAAACCTCTGCATGAGTGGCTACAGAGGGAAGGCCTGGAGAGGCGGGCGGGCCAGGGGGGCCCTGGAAGGATCAGGGAGGCATTTAAATGCCTCCCCATGCCTTCCCCAGCTTGTCCAAGGACCAGTTTGCCCGGGCTCCCCGCAGCCGTGGGGTGCCCGGGCAAACCAAGGGAAGACAGTTTAAACTGCCTTCCCTTCAAGGGGGGCTTGCCCGGGATCCCCACAGCCATGGGGTGCCTGGGCAAGCCAAGGGAAGGCATGGGGGTGTGGCCTAATATGCTAATAGGTTTCTGCTGTCAGGGTGTGGCCTATTATGCTAATGAGTTCCAGAAGCACATGCTAACTGACTCAGTGTCCCTCTCTAGTGCTGAGGTTGTGGATTCAAACCCTGGTACAGTGGACATTGGGGTGCGCGGGAGAGTAAGATTAGAAGTCCAGTTTTAAGGGAAAGGCTATGGTCGAGCAAAGACGTTCCTGGCTTCTCGAGTTAAAAGATGTCCAGTGGCGGGGAAGAACCTTCCCCTGCTTGTGATGCTGGAGAACCATTGCTAGAAAGAGGATCTGGTATTGAACTAGATGGGGAAGAGCCGCGGCTCAGTGGCAGAGCATCTGCCTGGCATGCAGAAGGTCCCAGGTTCAATCCCCGGCATCTCCAGTTAAAATATAGGGGACACAAACACAAAGGTGTTTTTTTTACTTAAAATAAAAACATGCTTTAAACATTAGCACTCTTGGAATATTTTGTTTATTTAACAGTGTTTGATAACTGACACCTCTTGCTCTGAATTATTATGGCTGTTGCAATCTTGAGTATGCTGTTCAGGTGTGTATCGGTAAGCTGCAAACCTACGATGACACAGCAGCAGCAGAACTGGAAGAAGAAGCAGAAGGTAGCCAGTTCCACTGCGGGCCTGAGAGAAGTTCGCTGGGGGCCTGATCTGGCCCGTGGGCCGCATGTTTGACACCCCTTCCTCTAAGTGGTCCAGGCCATGAGTATCTCCTGGATTGACAGTGGTAGAGCATCTGTTTGGCACACAGAAGGTCCCAGGTTAAATCCTTGGCATCTCCAGTTAAAAAGGACCAGGCAGGAGGTGACGGGAAAGACCTCTGCCGTTGACCCTGGAGAGCTGCTGCCAGTCTGAGTAGACAATACTGATTTTGATGGATCAAAGGACTAGTAGAAGGCAGCTTCATCTGTACCGCTCTTGCAATATTTTGTTTATTTAACAGTGGCTCCGATCACACACGGAAGTTGCCGCGGGATACTCATGGATGCCGGGCGGATTTAATGGGCGTGATCAAACAGGCACATCTGGCAAGCGTCGCACACCTGTTGGCAAGCCATTGCATCCCGCCGAAGACCCGGACTGAGAAGCTACTGCAGAAACTCCAGTGTTTTCCACTTGCATCGGGCCACAGACGGGCGTCCTCCGTCTGATCGCTCCAGCACAGCATGAAGAGTGCCGGAAATGTGCGCCGGCAAACTGCTACCCCCGATTCCCTGCCGTCGCATCTGATTGTGTTCGGCCGGGTCACAAGTGCGGCCCAGCGAAAAGCCACGCCTCCCCCCGGCGTTCTCTGGCCAGTGTGAACGGGGCCAGTGTCTGATAACTGACACCTCTTGCTCTGAATTATTGCTTCAAAATGTCCGTGCTTTTGCAATCTTGAGTATGCTGTTCAGGTGTGTATCTGTAAGCTGCAAACCTACAACGACACAACAGCAGCAGCAGCAGCAGAACAGGAAGAAGAAGCAGAAGACAGCCAGTTCCACTGTGAGCCTGGTAGAAGCTCTCCGGGGGCCTGATCTGGCCCCCGGGCCGCATGTTTGACACCCCTGCTCTAGCAGTTGGTTAAAACTCTATGTTCCTCATAGAGTTTTTAGCCAAATGCTAGAGCATCCCCTGCTTGATGTGCCTTGGGTGATGTCATAGCACCGGGCATGTCAGGCATGGTAGGGGTCTTCGGGGGTGGGACTCCCCCCACCAGCCAGGTGGCTGGTGCTGGATTGGGGGCCCTGAACGCCCCACCCCACCAGGGAGATGGTCCTGGGAAGAGAGCAGAAAGGTTTGCGCAGTGCCCTTCTCATGGCAGTTGCCTAACCCTGCCTTATGAAAGCACCAGCCCTGGGGATGGGGAAGCAGGGTTGCCAGCTCCAGGTTGGGAAACTCCTGGAGATTTGGGGGTGGAGCCTGGGGAGGACAGGGACCACAATGGGGTACATTGACACAGAGTCTGTCCTCCAAAGCATCCATTTTCTCCAGGGGAACTGATCTCTGTTGTCATAAGAACATAAGAGATGCCAATGTTGGATCAGGCCAAAGGCCCATCCAGTCCAACACTCTGTGTCACACAGTGGCCAGAAATACCAGGTGTCATCAGGAGGTCCACCAGTGGGGCCAGGACATTGGAAGCCCTCCCACTGTTGACCCCCTCCCCCCCAAGTACCAAGAAGACAGAGCATCACTTGCCCCAGAGCCCCTATCTATACCTTGTGGCTAATAGCCACTGATGGACCTCTGCTTCATTTGTTTATCCAATTCCCTCTTGAAGCCGTCCATGCTTGTAGCCGCCACCACTTCCTGTGGCAGTGAATTCCAAGTGTTAATTAATCACTCTTTGGGTGCAGAAGTACTTCCTCTTATCCGTTCTAACCCGACCGCTCAGCAATTTCATGGAGTGCCCACGAGTTCTTGTATTGTGAGAAAGGGAGAAAAATAATTGTGGCACTCCGGGTCTCGAACCACTGCTCTGCCGGTCAGTTACATTGGCAGTACAGTGCCTTAACCTCTTGAGCCACCGCAGCTCTGGAGATGAGGTGTAATTCCGGGGGATCCCCAGGTCCCACCTGGAGGCTGGCCTCCCTATCTCCTGTACAGTTCAATTGCAGCAGGAAATAGTTAATGTAAAGCAAGGTAGACAACATGGGACAAATCACTGTACACAGCTTGCTTCATTTCATCTTTGCAAAATTAGGAAATTTCCCAAGAAGTAACTGTTACAAAGTACCTTTTTTTGCAACAAGTAGTAGTTGTGAAATATTTTGGTAGATCCCTGCAAGGACGTTTCAACACTGTCAACCCTCATGCCTTGTGCCAGCATAGCAATTAGAAACTGGTGAGACCTGGATTTAAATCCCTACTCAAAATCTCTCTCTCTCCCTAATCTACCATGCAGGGCTGATGTAAGGATATATATCCCATACTTTGCTCGATCTCCTTGAAGTAAGGGCAGGGTAAAGATGCAATTAAAAAACAACAACCTTAATTGTAGAATGGTTGCTATGATCTGAGCATGATCCTGAACGGATCAGCCTTCAATTGACACTATGGTTTGATAACACAACATGAATGAACATCAGAAACGTTTAGGAGTTTAGAAATATCCATTTGGAAGGTCATGACCGTGTGAAGGCACGTCTTTATGAGGTTTGATGTGTGAAGAAGTCGTCACGAAACGGAACACCAACTCCGGGGAATTTCGTCCATCTATTCATCTGTAAAACATGATATTACTGTTAATGTGTGATTTGTAGTTTTGTTTTTGTTGTTGTTCAGTCGCACAGTTGAGTCCGACTCTTCGCAACCCCATGGACCAGATCACGCCAGGCCCTCCTGTCTTCCACCGTCCTCTGAAGTTGGCTCAATTTCATGTTCGTTGCATCAACAACACTGTCTAACCATCTCACCCTTTGCCGTCCCCATCTTCTTTGACCTTCAATCTTTCCCAGCATCCGGGTCTTCTCCAGTGAGTGCTCCCTCCTCATTTGGTGGCCAAAGTATTTGAGCTTCAGTTTCATTATCTGGCCTTCCAGGGAACAGTCAGGGTTGATTTCTTTTAGGATTGACTGATTTGATCTCCTTGCAGTCCAAGGGACTCTCAAGAGTCTTCTCCAGCACCATAGTTCAAAATAATCTCTTCTTCGGCGCTCGGCCTTCCTTATAGTCCAGCTCTCGCAGCCATACATGACTACTGGGAATACCATTGCTTTGACAATGCGGACTTTTGTTGGCAGGGAGATGTCTCTACTTTTTATCATGCTGTTTAGGTTCGCCATCGCTTTCCTCCCAAGGAGCAGGCGTCTTTGAATTTCATGGCTGCTGTCACAGTCTGCAGTGATCTTACTGAATAATTATTAAGCATTGATTGCATATTTGCAGTGGTCTTATCTATTCTCATCAAACCAGAAACCCAGCCGACGCCTCTGCACAAGCTGCAGAGGCCGCTGTCAGTGCTTCCCTTGAGGTAATATTTCTGAGGCAAAATGTTACCTTCCCAATCAAGGTTTCCTTGGGGATTGCCTGGGTATTTACAAAATTCCTGCCAAAATAAGGATGCAAAAGCATGCATTCCTTGGGAAATTTGGTTCGGCACACCAGGGCCCCCGAACCACCGGTAGGGATGCCATAAATTTCACACTGAACACGTCGGGCAGTCGAACGTACCATTTGGGCTGTGGTGATCAGATGCAAGCTGATCACTGGGTCAGTGCAGTTCGGCACAGAATGATTCAAAGTCTTGCTGAACCCAATTGCATATGCTTTTTGGCAAAACTGCTTATGTGTGGAAACAGTGCCCATCTATACATTTTGGTAGCCATTAATATTGGAATAGTCTGCTCAAATATCAGTTCTGTTTAAAATGTACAGCATTTATTTATGCCTGTTTTTATATGATCTGCGACTGATTTCACCATCTAAATAACTTCCTGCTAAGCAAAGCAGCAGACAGCAAGACTCTATTGGGTGCAATAAATAGGAAGCTGGAGACCAACTGGTGATGAAGCTGCATAGAAAGTTTATATAGATATAACGGTGAATATATACACAGAGATATACAGGCTATCATACAGCATACCGTGCCTTAGCTTGAGAGACTAAGTCCCCATCTAGCTTATCAAGCTGATAGCTAATATACTAAACCCAGCCAATCACTAACAAGGTGAATTAATTACCTACTCTAACAATGCCTCATAGAGAACACCTGCTAGTATAACACCTGGCTGTAATCACTTAATCACTAGAATGACAGCTAGGACTGTCAAACAGATCAAACTGATCTAGTAACTGCTTGCTACCTCTATCACCTAGACATATATCTCAATAGACTCAGGGTGGGGGTGGGAAGGAAAACTATAGTAGGCTGTGTGAAAATGCACATATGTAAAAAGCTGATTGTCCTGTCCTCTGCTCCTAAGAAGGAGCAATTGGCAGCAACCAACTGGCCATGAATGGGTTGGTGAACCACCTTCTAAAAAACTGGCTGCCTAATTGTAACTGGAAAACAGTATGTGAGCTGAACCGGTGGGTGGTTCTTTAAAGTCGGCCCTTCTCTCTGGAGGAAACTCCTAATCATTTAGGCCCGTTTTTAGGTTTACCAGCCTCCAGGTGGTGGCTGGAGATCTTCTGAAATAACCATTATGAAGCTCAGTTCCCCTGGAGAAAATGGCTGCTTTGGACGGTGGATTCTATGGCACCATGCCCCACTGAGGTCCTCCCCCTACTCAAACCCCACCCTCCCCAGACTCCATCCCCCAAATCTCCAGGAATTTCCCAACTCGTAGTTGGCAACCTTATTTGTGATGGCTTCTTGCGCACTTTTATGTGGCAGTTCTCTCTGACCTAGATCGAAGACCTGCTCTTGTTCCCATGTGGGTTTATTTTTTTGGTGGGGGAGAATTAATGTCGAATTTCTCGGCATGACTGGGGATGTGGGGTGGGCGCAAGCCAGGTGAAACATCTGGAAGGGAATTTTGATCAGCCCACTTCTGTGCAGACTTGGATCACCAATCTAGGCTTGTGAAATTCGTGGAGGTTTGAGGGCGGTGTTTGGGGGAAGGGAGAAACTCCGTGGGGATCTGATGGCATTGAACCCAACCTCCCACGCTGCCATTTCTCTAATCCGGAGATCAGTTGTCATTCTGGGAGAACATCAGGCCCAACCTGGAGGCTGGTAACTCTAGCGCAATCCCATGTTTTATGAGTCTGGAGATAACGTTCCAAAAGCAGATGCCTCTTTTCTCCTCGGTGCTGACAAAGAAAGCTCCTAAGTGTCACGTCAATTTCTGAGTTGAGCCAAAGGGAGCCCCGTTCTGTAAACACTATAGGAAATTAATCACTCCTACACTTAGGAGCTGCGGTGGCTCAAGTGGTTAAGACGCTGAACTGCAGGCTGTGGAAGGTCGGTAGTTCAGCAGTTCGAGACCCGAGTGTGCCGCATGATGGAGTGAGCTCCCATCTCTAGTTCCAGCTCCTGCCCACCTAGCAGTTCGAAAGCAAGAAATTGCAAGTAGATAAATAGGGACCACTTCAGTGGGAAGGTGACAGCGTTCCGTGAGCCTTGGTGTTTAGTCATGCCGGCCACATGACCACGGAAACGTCTTCGGACAGCGCTGGCTCTTCGGCTTTGGAACGCAACCCTAGAGTCGGACTCGACTGGCTTTCGAGCAAGGGAGACCTTTACCTTTACCTTTTTTACACTCATCTTGCTTTCTATTCGATTTCTCAAGATGTTTGGAAAGTCATTACAATTTGGCAGAAGTCAAGGCATTGTAATGAAAGATTCAGTAGAGTTCTTCTTCTTCTTCTTCTTCTTCTTCTTCTTCTTCTTCTTCTTCTTCTTCTTCTTCTTCTTCTTTTTTGACAAGCCCAGTGGGAACATATAATGGAGCCCAGGCTGGTACTTAGAGGTAAACAGACATGCAAATAATTATGAGCAGGAACTGTTTTAATGGATAAGGTTTGATTACTAGAGGATGGTGCAGCTTAGCCCGTATTAAACTGTGTGCTGCCTTTTCCCCAGGTCAGACTATTAGTTCCTCCTAGCCAGGTGGAGCAAACAAACAGGAGGAGGAGGAGATTGGATTGATACCCCACCTTTCACTACCCGAAGAAGTCTCAGAGAGGCTTACCATCTCCTGTCCCTTCCCCTCCCCACAACAGACACCTTGTGAGGTCGGTGGGGCTGAGAGAGCTCTTTCAAGGACTGCTCTTGAGAGAACAGCTCTGAGAGAACTTGTGACTGACCCAAGGTCATACCAGCAGCTGCACGTGGAGGAGTGGGGAAATCAAACC